GTTGTACTACAAAGTCGCCAGTTCTCATCTTCCAGCTCCCCAGATACCCCGCGTACTAAAGTTGTACTACAAAGTCGCCAGTTCTCAGCTTCCAGCTCCACAGATTGCTCCGCGTACTAAAGTTGTACTAGAAAGTCGCCAGTTCTCATCTTCCAGCTCCCCAGATACTCCGCGTACTAAAGTTGCACTACAAAGTCGCCAGTTCTCAGCTTCCAGCTCCACAGATTGCTCCGCGTATTAAAGTTGCGCTACAAAGTCGCCAGTTCTCATCTTCCAGCTCCCCAGATACTCCGCGTACTAAAGTTGCGCTACAAAGTCGCCAGTTCTCAGCTTCCAGCTCCACAGATTGCTCCGCGTACTAAAGTTGCACTACAAAGTCGCCAGATCTCATCTTCCAGCTCCCCAGATACCCCGCGTACTAAAGTTGTACTACAAAGTCGCCAGTTCTCAGCTTCCAGCTCCACAGATTGCTCCGCGTACTAAAGTTGCACTAGAAAGTCGCCAGTTCTCATCTTCCAGCTCCCCAATCGCACTCTCGCCTGCATTTCGCGCCATCGACACGCACGATCCCCGCAGAGGGTTGCCCGCGGCAGAGACAAATCGCACTCTCGCCTGCATTTCGCGCACTCGACGCGCACGATCTCCGCAGAGGGTTGCGCCGGACAAAACCAAATCGCACTCTCGCCTGCTTTTCGTTCGCTCGACACGCACGATCTCCGCAGAGGGTTGCGTTTCGTGGTGCTCCGGCGGCACTGCCCCCGGCCTTAAGAGAGAAAGTTGGGAAGAGCGAGAGGTGAAGATGTGAGCTGTAGATGTGAGGATGTGAAGATGAGCAGAGATGTAGATGTGCAGATGTGAACATGAGCAGAGATGTAGATATGTGAAGATGAAGATGAGCAGAGATGTAGATGTGCAGATGTGAAGATGAGCAGAGATGTAGATGTGCAGATGTGAACATGAGCAGAGGTGAAGATGTGAAGATGTAGATGATACGTAGTTCTGCAGATGTTTTTTTACGAAGAACCCTTCGCAGACGCTCTCGGGAAAAACAACAACGGGGCTGCAGTTTTTGTCTCTAGGATGCGCTAGAGGTTCTAAGTAGAAGTTTTACAGAGGCTTAGCTGACCGGACCACCACCACCACCACCACGACTACTACTACTACCACGACTACTACTACTACTACTACTATTACTACTACTACTACTACTAATACTAACTACTACTACTACTACTACTACTACTACTACTACTACTACTAACTACTAACTACTAACTACTACCTACTACCTACTACCTACTACTACTACTACTATTACTACTACTACTACCACTACTACCACTACTACCACTGCTACCTGCTGCCACTACCCCCGCCACTACTACCACTACTACCACTACTACTACCACTACTACTACTACTACGACTACTACTACTACTACCTACTAACTACTACCTACTACCTACTACCTACTACCTACTACTACTGCTACTACTACTACGCCTACTGCTACTACTACGACTAAGACCACTACCACTACCACTAACTACTACTACTACTACTACTACCATTACTACTACTACTACTACCACCATTACTACTACTACCACCATTACTACTACTA